ACAGACAGAAAGAAAGATAATTGGTTGGGGGATAGAGAAAAATGAGAGAGGGATATACAGGTATAGCAGGGGAAGGAAAGAGATAGGGAGAGAGTGGCAGGGAGAAAGATAAAGAGGGGTGTGAGAGGGAGAAAGATAGAAAGACACTTGGGAAGAGAGAGAGGGAGAGGGATGCAAAGAAAGAGATAGGGAGGTGGGAGGGGAGAGATATAGGGAGTGGAGGGCGGGGAGAGAAATGGCGAGAGGACGAGAAGGACAGAGATAGAGAGAGAGAGAGAGAGAGAGAGAAAGAGAGAGAGAGAGAGAGACGAGGCGTAGTGGAGGGCCGAAGGCGTATGGAGCGAAGAGAGACAGAGGGAAAGGAAAGATAAGAGAGACAGGGGGAAAAGGAAAGGGTAATGAGAGACAGAGGGAAAGGAAGGGTAAGAGAGAGCAGTAGGAATAGGAAAGATGAAGAGAGACAGGGGGATAAGGAAGGGTTTAAGAGAGACAGAGGGAAAGGAAGGTAGCAGAGACAGAGGGAAAGTAAGTGGTAATGAGAGACAGGGAAGAGGAAGGGTAGAGAGATCAGCGGAAATGTAAGGGTAAGAGAGACACGCCGGAAAAGAAGGGTAAGAAGAGACAAGCGGAAATGGAAGGGTAAGAGAGACATGAGGGAAAGTAAGGTGAAAGAGAGACAGACGGGAATAGGAAGTGGTAAAGAGAAGACATAACATAGGCGGGAAAAGAAGTAATGGTTAATGAGAGAGAGACAGAACGTTCGGATAAGGAAGAAAAGAAACGGTAAGAGAGAGACTAGAGTGAATAGGAAGGGTAAGAGAGACATTCCCGTGAGAAAGGAAAAGTAAGGGTAAGAGAGACAGAGGGAAAGGAACGGGTAAGTAGAGACCAGAGGGAAATAAGGGTAAGAGAGACATGGCGGGGAAAGGAAGGGTAAGAGATACAGAATAAAAGAGGGAGGGGAGAGAGTTCGCTTTGTTCCTAGGAGTTCTCTCTTCAAAGTCTTCCGTGAGTACGTAAGAAATCCGTAAGTGCAGGTGGCAGCACCACATCACGCCACCCTAGACTTTGGTAGATGGACGTACGCCACTCGCTCGAACAAGGGCAAAGCCAGTAAGAGTGGCGAGATGGTTCCAGTCCAGCTTTCCGACAGATAAAAATGGACTTCTTTTTACACAGTATGTGGCAACGACTTGTCTTTAAATTTTTGCCACACACCCTGCCATTCTGCTGATTATTTTCACATGTTTAAACACAATAAAGTACTTGGAACTAGAAAAAGAATATCTGTCAAAATCTACCAACCGTAGGGTCTAATTAAAAAATGCGACGCATAGGCCTACTCACGCAGGCACACACACACACACACACACACACACACACACACACACACACACACACACACACACACACACACACACACACACACACACACACACACACACACACACACACACACACACACACACACACACACACACACACACACACACATACACACACACAGAGAGAGAGAGAGAGAGAGAGACGCACGCACGCACGCACATTCCGCTTCTCACTTAACCCTTGCGGCTCCTATACCCACCACCGATTGACGCGTATATTCACCGCATTATGGCTGTCGTTACCACGAGTGGTGAAGTCAGTGAACTCTAATTACCAGCTTTGGATCATTAGCGTTGGACGTTAATTGGACGTGTGCATCCATGAATTCTGAAAGCGGTAGCTTTAGATTTAGGATTTTCTGAGGATTCTGTAGAACGCAGTTTGCTGCTATTTTGCCGGGACAAATAATTGCCGCATTCTGGGAGAATTCCCACGTGCAGTCCCAAATATTATATAAAACGACTGGGTCCTCTGGATCTGCCATGCCTGCTGAGTGCTCACACACAGCACATGTAAACGCGCGTGCGTGAGTGTGTGTGTGTGTGTGTGTGTGTGTGTGTGTGTGTGTGTGTGTGTGTGTGTGTGTGTGTGTGTGTGTGTGTGTGTGT